CCAGGCACCGGGGTTAAGAACAGGGAACTCATGCCATCTTCTGCTTGGGTCTCCCGGAAGAGCAAGTAGATCCTTTCATTCCTGCACAACATCTCTTTATTTCCGCAAAACAGACACTTAGACAGAAATGATATTCAAGAAATGGGTTCCCAGAATCCGGTGCCTGTGATGTGACACCTTGCACAGCCTTGGTGCAGTGGGAAGGGGCTTGGACCTGCCTAGGCTCAGTGTACTGGGCTCTGCTGACTCCCCATGGGAGACCTTGATGTGGGGATGCTGGGTGGCTTGGGAAAGAAGGCTGGGGGTTGGGAGGAGGGGGAATCTGTGGATGGTATGTGGCGTGAGTAGAAAATTTCTTAATAAAGAAAAATGAAAAAAAAAAGAAAAGAAATGGGAGAAAGATGCAGGAGAGGAAGAAACAGGAATATGCTAGGGAAAATGCTGGTCATGAATGTCACACAGAATGGGAAGGCAGAGGCAACAAAGGCTGTTGGCCAACTCCCCAGCTTGAAGCAATTTTTTATAGGCAGAGCTGAGCAATGCACATTGCAGTCTCCACATGAGGACCTGCCACCTTTGTGTTTTGTTAGCTCTGATATCGAACTTCCCCTAGCCATTCAGTACCCCAAGTAGGAACTGCCTTTAGCTGAACATGATGTGGTCATGCCACTAATCCTTTTATTTTGACTGACGTTTCTGCTGTTCAACAAAAAGAACACCATTTTCTTTACTCAATTGTTGTGTTTTAGGCAGGAAAGGGAATCGCAGAAGTAATTGAATCCATTTATATATGAGGAAATCTGGTTCAACTTAAGCAAGCTTCGCCCCCTACCTGTTAACTCCCTCTATGTTTCTAGAACAGCCTTCCCGATTCTCTCTACAGATCATTCGCAGAGGAGCTATGCAGACATCACAGAAAAGACATCCAGGTGGGATGCTTTGGTAACCCCAGTACAACTGCCCAAAGCACTTGGGTTCTGAATTACTTGGGAGCAACAGCTTCAAGGCTTATGTTTGTACTTGATGTCTGTGCATCCTGGGCCTCTCTTAAGTCAAGAGCACAAAGAAGTGTCTCTTCCTGGCTCCCTGCTTCCCCTGGAGTCTGTCCTCTCATCTTTTACATCTCCATGGCCCTGAGTACTGTGCACGGTGGCCTGAACGCTGTGGCTTCTTAATTGCCCAGAGTATATATGTTCTCCAAGTTCTTTAGTCTTCCACATTTGGCTGAGGGATGCTTTCCAAGCCCAGCAGCCAGACTGAAAACATCTAGAAAGCTTTTAATAGTGGCCAGCTCCTCAGCCACACTGACACCGCATACATTCAATATTCCATAGTGGGCACTGGCAACCCCTTGTGCTTTTCTTGGCTCTGAATAACTGGGACAGTCTGATTTCATATTTAGTTGGCATTGCTTCAGAACAGATATGCTTAGTCAACCAAGAAAAATAGGAGTCTCACACGGATTGACTTGAAGCCCACAAAACATGCTTATTTCCTGTATCAGTCAGATTTTTCCTTATTTGTGTGGCATACAAGACACATTTTATTCATAGGTATTAAGTTTACATTAAAATCACATAATTAACAAAACAATAGATATTAATGTTTGCTGGGCCTATAGGCTGAAGATGATGCCTGTCTGTTTCTGTCAACTCACAAATTTTTTGGAGGTTGCTTATGTGCACTTCCTGTTTTTATTTTTGTTAGCTAATATTATTTCCTTCTTGGGTCTCTGAGGGAGTTGAAGATTAGTTAGTTATAGTTGAAGGTTAGTTAGTTATAGTTGAAGATTAATTAGGATACATTTTGAACTTACCAAAATAGGATAGATAATGAAATTATTTTCTCTGAATTTGTCAAATACAAATGGACTAGACATTGTTTAGGTATTTATTACTTGTATATATTGTATATAGTTATTATCCTTTTGTATATAGTTTTTCTTATATTAGTTATAAGCTTTTTCTTTTTTTTCCTTTTTATTAAAATAGAAAAGGGGAAATATGGTGATATTTTATTTGTATTAAAATGTTATTTGTATGTTAATAAATAAAGTTGCCCGGGGGTCAGAGCTATTAGCAAGCCATAGGAAAGCAGGGCAGTGGTAGCGTATGCTTGTAATTCCAGCACTTAGTAGGCAGAGCTGGGTAAGTCTCTGTGTGTTCAGGGATACAGCCATTATTGGATACACATGCCTTTAATCTTAATACCAATCATGGAAAACCTGGAGGCCTATACAGACAGGCTGTGAGGAGGCGGTCATGTGGTTGGGTTTACAACCAATGAGAAGGCAGGACAGGAACTCTATATAAAGACTTTAACACAGGGGTAGCTCTGGTTCGGAGAGGTAGGACCACTGCAGGAGGAAGGGTAAGGTTTTGGCTCTTGGCTCTGACCTCTTGGCTTTCTTCTTTGCATTGGTTCTGTGTTTATTGTTTGATGGGAAGGTTGGATACATCTACATTTGTTATTTCAGGACAAGGCTTACAGAACTCCCTTATCTGTGCTCATTTGCATACACATCTATTTTAGTGCACTGTAATAACAACTTGGAATTTTGTTCTACTTCCTCAGATATGCGTTTTTTACTTACAATTTCTAGATATTCCAAGACATGTTGAGAACATACTAGGTGGTAGGTGCCAAACCCTTGATTAGTGCAGAGTGGAAATTGAGATCTTTTTGCTGTATGTTAAATTCTGTAAAATTGGGGGTGGCTTTGTTTATTGCTCCACTTTCCATACCACGGTGGAAAGTGCTACTTATAGTCAAAAAAAATCAACTTCCTTGGCAGTTATTATGGACTCAGAAATAATTCTACTCAGCTACTTATTGGCTGATGACTACCACACTTGTTGGTTGCTCTATTGTATCTAAGGCACCGTTATCTGTATCTATATAAGTAAACACACACGGATATGCACCTCTACATATACGATGACAGCAATGATTATTGTTGATGTCTGCACTCAGGTTCTGGGAAGTCGTCACAAACACTAAATTAGTACCTACTTGGTCATTGATTATAGAATAAGTCACAATTAGATTCAATTTGCATCAACCCATCAATTAATAACCTCATTTTATGTGTGTTTCTGATCTAATACAAAGTATTGACTCCTTAACATCAAACTCAACCACACTGTAACTCATGACTTTCTGTTCATCTCCAGTATGCTTCCTCTGTAAGAGACACATCATCTGCATCATGCGTTTAGGAACACTAGACAAGGCTTTACCACTACATGTAGAAAGATCATTGTAAACGGTGAAATCATAACCAAAAAAACACAAAACTGTGGACAATATAATTAAACATATTGAGAAGGGACATATGTTTACAATAGGGAAGCTGAACTCCACCTGGAGCAGAGACAACAGGCAGTTCCAAATGTTCACCGATGGTGCATGTCCACAGTGACCATGAAAGTGACATGAGTATTGATTTCTACATGTCAAATAAACATGAACAAGTAGGAAAATTGACAGAAACTCTCAATAGTGAGAACCAACTGGATGTGTGCACATATAGGCATGTGTACGTATTTGTGTCTCAGGAGGACATATTAACTGCTCCCAATGGTCATCAGAGGTAGGAAATAACCTTACCCCGATTTTATAAATTAAACCCCTAAGTGGCTTCTTGATGGCAGTGCTGAACAGCTGGCATATTATTTGAAATCAAAGATTCAGACTTCAGAGCTTGGCCACCCTACGAGTATGAACACTGACTGTTGGTTTTTCCTTTATTTTCCTGGAAACAATAATTGAAATACAGCAGGAATTCATAAAGCGTGTGTATCTTAAGTGTACTGGCACATGAATTGTCACAAAATGAAGAAAGCCAGGCAACTGAGGACTGGTATGACGAAAGAAATCAAATGCTCTTCAGCCCCTTGTAGACTCTTCCCAGCGACCCCTACCCCTCCAAGGATAATCAGTATCTTGACCTTTAGGCACTGCCTATTATTTAAACTAAGAGGCACACACTTGACACCAAGGCTCTGGTCTCTAAGATTCTCCACTGGGAAACACCAGACCTTCTTGGAGATATGGCTGATTCTCAAACTGAAGCAGGAAAGCTCAGAGAGTAAGGATGGAACAAGCACACAACGGTGACGCTGAAAAGATGAGAGCCAACTTAACAAGCCCTCAGTAGCCAAAGCAATTGGGGAAAAAAACTGAACATCAAAAGAAAGAAAGAGAGAGATGGAGAAAGAGGGGAGAGAGAGAGAAAAAGAAAAAAAGTTCAAGTCTCAATACCCACATTTACTAGTTGTAAATTCTAGACAAGCAACTGACGTCCTTCAACTTTAATTTCCTTGTATATGAAATGGAGGTGTTATTAGTGCCTACACTCTTAAGTTCTTATGGGTAATAAACATACTGTGAAGTACTTGCCATAGACAAAGGCCGATATACGTGAGAGGCTAACCAGCATAATGACAGCAGTAACATGCCTGCCTTTATAAGCCTGGGCCATGTTGAGATCATCAGCTCCTCCACACAAGTCCTCGTTGAACAGCAGAAAGGTCTCCATGTCCCCTCTTTTTACTCTTGTCTATCTTCTCAATCACCTCATCCATTGGATACATTCTGTCTTTCAATATATTGATAGATCTGATTGCCTAGGGGTCAAGGTCCCACTGACCTAAGATCATTTTCCTCTAATAAATTGTTCCTGTTTACAGCATACCCAGAGGCTCCTTGTTCTTTCCGTATTCTGTCTTCTTAGGGGACTCACTGTAGTCCCCAGTTTGGGCCATAAGCTCTTTTTATCAAAATTTTTTTTCATGTATTTTGATCATGGTTTCCCTTCTTCAGCTCCTCCCAGATCTTCCCCAACTCTCCATACATTCAACTCTATGAGCATTTTTCCTTTTTTTAATTTAAGAAATTTTTTATTCATTTTACATGCCAACCATAGATCTGCTCTCATCCCTCCTCCCACTCGCCCCCAAGCCCCACCCACCCCACCACACCCCACCACACCACACCCCAATCCTCTCCTCCAAAAGGGTAAGTGCTCCCATGGGGAGTCAGCAGAGCCTCGTACGTTCAGTTGAGGCAGGACCAAGCCCCTCCTCCCTGCATCAAGGCTGATCAAGGCTTCCCACCATAGGTAATAGGCCCCAGAAAGGCAGCTCATGCACCGGGGATAGATCCTGATCACACTGCCAGGTGCCCCTCAAACAGACCAAGCTACACAACTGTCTCACATATGCAGAAGGCCTAGTCCAGTCCCACGCAGGTTCCACAACTGATGGTCTAAAGTTGGTGAGTTCCTATGAGCTTGGTTCAGTTGTCTCTGTAGATTTCCCCATCATGATCTTGGTCCCTCTTGCTCATAGAGTCAATCTTCCCTCTCTTCAACTGGACTCCTGGAGCTTGACCTGGTGCTTGGCTGTGGATCTCTGCATTTGCTTCCATCAGTTACTGGATGAAGGCTCTATGATGACAGTTAGGGTATACACCGATCTGATTATCAGGGTAGGCCAGACAGGCAAAAAGCAAAACAGAATTTTTAAAAAACAAAGAAAAAGTACAAGAAATACAAGCACACACACAAGCATGTATCACACACACAACCACATTTATGCATACATACACACACGTACACATACTCATACACACCACTCACACCCACACTCATACACAAATACATACACACAAACACACATTCGTACTCACACATGTACATACCCACACATGCATGTACATGCATACTAATATACATATACACACAAAAAAAAACCATAGATACTCAAAATCAGAACCATAATCTATAAGCAAAAGACCAGTAAGGTTAAAAAAAATTTTTTAAATGCCCAAACAAACAATATGAGACAAAAAAAAATCTCCAAAATTACCATTGAGTTCGTTTTGTATTGGCCTTTTACCGTTGGACATTGGGCCTGCCCTTAAGTGTAGTCCACTGGAGAACACTCATTTTTCCTTTGCAAGTGATTATCAATTGAAGATAACTTCTTGCTTAGGGGTGGGATCTTATGTCCACATCCCCCTTTCAGCGCTGAGATCCTTTCTGCCTTGCTGTGAATGGGCCAAATCTTCTTGCTGAAGATTTTCGGTGGTTTCTTTAAAAACATAAATAATTCTATGATTAGATTTCAGTTGCGTGTGTGGCAAATATCTTCATATTTATCTATAACCCTTGATACTAGAAAAGATATAAACCAACAAAAAAAATGATACACTAGCACCACTTCCAATTGAAGAAAAATAGTATGCATAACCACTTCCTTATATATAAAGTCAGGCTGAAATGTAGTGTCTAATTGTGGGTTTTATTCAACGTGCAATTTGTGCTCAGACATTCTATATATTAGAAAAATAAGCTGGATGTCAAGGATCACTAAATTCAAATTCATATGAAATTTCTTTTGTATGAAAAGCTTTACTAAAGAGTCAGAGTAAATTCCAAGCCCTCAGCAGCTAAGACAAAGTGAGCAGGAATTGTGAGCACCCTCAGGCCCTGTCTTCTCTCACAAAAAAAAACCCTGAATACTGTATTTCTATCAATGGAATGATTCTGTCACCTTTCCAGACTGATCTGTTCTTCTGTAAGTAGTGCTTATTAAATGTTTACAATACAGAGAAATAATTGAAGATTTGTGTAACCACCACAGCATTTAAAAAATCGGATGCTGATGCTAGGGAGATAACTTGGCAGATAGAGGAGCTTGCTATGGAAGCAAGAGGACCAGCTGGATAGTGGCGGCTCAAGCCTTTAATCTCAGAACCCAGGAGACAGAGACAAGTGGACCTCTGGGTTCGAGGCCCGCTTGGTCTACAAAGTGAGTTCCAGGACAGCCAGGGCTACACAGAGAAACCGTGTCTCAAAAAAACAACCACATGGAAAAAAAATGGGGGGAAAGAAAGAGGACCTGAGTTCAGATTCTCAGTTCCCACATAAAATCCAGGAGCGGTTGTATGTGCCTGTAACCCCAATATTAAGGAACAGAAGCTGGAAGATCCTCGGAACATGCTGGCCAGCCAATCTAGTCAAAGAGCAGGTTTCAGGTTCACTGAGAGATTTTAGCTCAAAAAAATAAAATAGAAGAAATAGAAGAAGACACCCAACATCATCCTCTGGCCTCTACAAGCACACATGCATATGTTGTACATACACAGGCACAAAAATCACATCACATATGCATACTCAAACACACACAAACACCAAGAAAAAAAATCAGATATTGACAAGCAATTGTGTCCTATTTCAGAAAGCCCTTTTATTCAACAAGATTGTGAAGTATAGAAGAATTATGAATACAATGCTTTGTAAGGATCGGGAAGGAAACATTGCTATTCAGTGTCTGGATGAAAATCAAGTCAAAGTGAGGAAAATATATATTTGATACATTCACTCAGTATCAAGAAAAATTCAACATGAATTGGTCAAACAGAATGTAGTAAGTACAAAGAGACACAGGGTCTTCAATAAGATCAGATCAGTGTGGGAAATGTAAGGCTTGAGAAACAGTTCAGTGGTTAAGACATGAGCTACTCTTTCAGATGACCTAGATTCAGTTCCCATCACCCACATGGGGATTTACAACTGTCTATATATAACTCCTGTTCCAAGGAATCCAGTGCCCTCATCTGGCCTCTGTGGGTACCAGGCATGCAAGTGATGCACAGACAGCCATACACATAAACCAATAGTCCTACCTCATGCCTATGAACTTCCCCAATGACCAGCCTGGGGAAGATATCTCCCAAGGGTGTATTAGTGCCACTTATCCCTTAGTGGCAATCACCAGCTACCTAGGTGGACTTAAAACACACTCAGTAGGAGGAGATTCAGGCTTGGTACTGTCCCATCTGTAGATGAACACCCAACCATCCCTTGTCCTTAACACTCTGATCAGTAACGGTTCTGTGCGTTAACCACTGCCCCCCGAAAAGAAGCTTCCCTGACCTAAGATGAGAGCAGCACAAACCTATGTATAAATATTTAGAAGGCAGTTTGACAACATGATCATCTAGCAAAACAACTACAGTGGGTTCTTTCTAGGGCTTAAGACCTCTGTGGATTTGGGGCCAGATTTAGTGTTAGTTATGAATTCTCTTGGGTGTGTGGCCACTGGCAGGTTGCCCAGGCAGCAATGTTAGACCCCATACCCATGCACATGTGAATAGCACTACTTGTGCTCAGTGGGTTAAACTTAAAAGGAGAGAAAGAAGGAAAGACAGAAGGAAGGAAGGAAGGAAGGAAGGAAGGAAAGCAAACAGCACATGAAGTTGGAAAGTAGGTGTGTCAGAGGGATTTTGGGGAAGTTGAAGTGGAAGAACATAGATGAATATGATTAAGAAGCATTGCATCCATGTATGAAAGTTTCAAAGAATAAATAAGAATATTTGAAGAAAAAATTGTCAGAGGAAATACAGTCCATTTTATAAAAGCAATTTGTAATGAAACTTTCTTCATTTCACATTAGGCTGTTCCCTGCAATGGAAGAAATTTATGAAAATTATTGGTACAGTAAGTAGCAAATAAATTTGGTTTCTGCTGGAGATGAAGAGAATTACCATCTTCATGAAAACAAAATACGGAAGAGAAATTAAGTAGGAACTGAACTGCACTCTTCCTCCCGGGTGGCTAGCTTTCACGGTGCTGGCTGGTACTAGGCAGGCTGCTAGAGGGACAAAGGTGCCAATGGTCTTCCCCAGCTGTGAACGCTGTGACCTACAAGACCAACGCGCCAGGAAAAATGGGCCGATTGGTGCGATAGCGGCACAACTGTTACAGCCGTAACCCACAGGCTCATTCCACAAGAAGGAATACATTGCTAGCGCAGCAAACCCAGTCAAATACCTATTACTGAGGAGATCTTGGAACCAACGTGGGAACTTGCTGTTGCCACTGAGCTAAATTGATACAGCATCAAACTGTCTCCTACATATCTATGTTTACACCCACACGTAAAGTCTGTTCTCAACATTAACCAGGGAAACAGTGAATGGAAGTGAATGCACAGGCAGATACATGGTTGCACAAGATGCTGAGAATAAGGGCCCAACCTGACAGAAGACACTTATATCACAAGCTTAAGGTTTAGGAAACATTGCAAAAGAGAGGTTGGAAAGAATTTATGAGTCAGATGACAGGGAAAAGTCTTACAAAGTCTATCTTAGCACAACTCAGCCAATGTGATCACGAGCTCACAGCAGGTGCACTTGCTTGAACAGGAACGACACAAGGAAGGCCTACCTAATAGTTATCTATGAACGATGTAGGGGCTTCCAGGGCCCTATCAATTACTACTGAACTACTGGCAGCTATCAGATTCTGGGAGATGGGGAGGCAGAGTATTCAGTTGTATATCTACTGGTGAGCCCACGGAACTCTAATGGATAGTGCAAAAGCCCTGGTCACACAGACAGTGATAGTGAAATGCTGTAGGACCTTTTTGCCATGAACATAAAAATGAGGTTGTAGGAAAGAAGCAAGGCCCGCAGGAGTAGGAAGAAAGTAACTGAAGGTGAGAAAGGAGGTTAACCAGAGTCCATTATGTTCTAGTTGGGTTTGGGTTGTTTTGATAAACAAGATGACCAAAAACAGCCTGAGGAAAAATGGGTTTATTTCAGATGACAGGTTATAGTTCATCATTGAGAGAAGTGAAGTCAGAAGGTCAAGGCCACAGCCTCAAACAGAAAGTACTGAGGAATATTTACTGGATTGCTCCCTCCAGCTTGCTCAGCTACATTTCTTCTGCAGCCCAGGCAAAGCCTAGGGTTAGTACTTCCAACAGTGGGCTAGGCCCTCCTGCATATATTAGCAACCAAGCCACTGTCAAAAGCCAACCAGTGCTGGGCAATTCTTCAGTTGATGTATGTTCCCTCTTCCCAGGTGACTTCAGGTTTATGTCAGGTTGACACATGTATGAATTGTCAAAGAACAGCATTTATAAACAACAAAAGTGAGGCCTAAAAAAGTTATACTTCAAAGTTACTTGAAAGAGGAGTATGTTCCCTTAAAAGTCAACATATAATGAACATTTATAGAGAATGTGTGTACAAAGCAAGGTGTAATATTGGTCATATTAATATTTCCTTGGCACAGATGTCATTTTTAAAGGCTATATAAGGAAAACTCTTGCTGGGCAATGGTGGTGCACACACATTTAATCCCTGCACTCAAGAGGCAGAGGCAGGTGGTGAACTCACAATCTCCATGAGTTCAAGGCCAGCCTGGTCAACAGAGCAAGTTCTAGGACAGCCAGGGCAACACAGAGAAACCCTGTCTTGAAAAAAAAAGGATAGAAAAAAAGAAAAACTCTGATCTCATAATACAGAGGTATTTTGCTGTTTTGTTGCCTACTTACTTTTGGATAAATTGTACTTTTCAGGTGAACAGAAATTTGATACATACATTGAACAATGTCTAATGAATAAACATGCACATTATTTTTTTTTTTGGTTTTTCGAGAACATTATTTTTTTTTAAAAAGTGTGTCATGGAGGTATTTAGTGGTTACCCAGAGATTTGCCTGGACTGAATGTATAGACCACTGTAGATGTAACCACCCGTCTTGTTAAATAAGAAACACAGAACCAATGCAAAGAAGAAAGCCAAGAGGTCAGAGCTAAGAGCTAAAACCTTACCCTTCCTCCTGCGGTGGTCCTACCTCTCCGAAAGAGAGCTACATCCTGTGTTAAAGTCTTTATAAAGACTTTCGGTTCTGCCTTCTCTTTGGTTGTAAACCCAACCACATGACCGCCTTGTCACTGCCTGTCTGTACAGACCTCCAGGTCTTCTATGGTTGGTATTGAGATTAAAGGCATGTGTCTCCAATGCTGCCTGTATCCCTGAACAGACCACTGTAAGAAAAATAAATCAAGAAATGGGAAACAGAAAGATGAGGAAATATAAATCCTTAGATTTTTTTTCCAAAACGTAAGAAATACATGGAAGAAAGATTAACAAAGGAGACAAAACAACATATTGACTTAGAACACCATTGCTGAAAAAAAAATGGGCATATGGTTCTAAACTGTCTCAGGAATTCTGAGAATTTCAAAAATTAAATGTAAGCATAGGTTGGACTATGGTGGATATGATTAAGGATTGATGATCACACCTTAGCATCCATGCATTCATATATTCACATCTTGGATACATGTACCTATGAAAATACTGTAACGTGATATTGTTATGGGTCTTTCTATATTTTCATTGGCTCTTAAAGGAAAAATACAAATACAGCATTTAAAAATATTACTGAGACTACATAGATACGTGAATGGACTAAGAAAAGATAAACCATTTTTGCCAGGTTATACTTTTCTGCTTGCACCAACATCTTGCACACTGTAGCAGCACTCAGTAAGTACCCAAAAGAGGAGCCAATATCTATGAGATCACAAATACGGAACTATTAACTTGAGGACAAATTGCAGAAACATACAGTGATGAGAGATGTTATCAGATAAAGAAATATTACTAACACCTTTGTTTACCACGGAAAAGACAGAAAGATGCCAAGTAACCAGGGTCTGCTACTACATAGAACGCTCAAGGCCCCTTAAGGAGTATTTAGTAATTACCCTAAATTTAACTGTCCGGCCTAATCTTTAATCTCAGACCACAACATCCCCTGCCATGTGTCTGCTTCTCACTTCCCTCCCCTCATTTCAGGAAGGGCACAAATGTACTTCCCTCCCTTCAGACATCCTGAAAGACTGCTTCTAACACAGCTCGAATCTTCTGAAGCAACACTGCCTTGTCTTTTTCTTTCCATTTTATTTACTACACCCCAGTCACTCAAAATTGATCTAAAAGTATTTGTTTGTTGAACATCTTTCCTACCACCACCTGCCTAATCTGATTTTTGTTCTACTGCCTGAATCAGAAATCTTTTTTAAATAAAATTTTAGAATATGTTTAAAGCAAGGAACACATCTTTCTCACATTTTTATCTACCACAGCTATGACAATATTATAGCTCTGCTATTGTTACTACCTAAAACACTGAGGGAGCTTTCTGGAAATTCTTTGAGAACTGACACTAGAGAAAACAGAAAATGATAGTCCCAACATTAAACTTTTCCCATGTTGTACAAATTTTTGGTGGATTTCCTAATGCTATAAGGTGTTACTGTGTACCTCCAGACAGTGATTGTATTACATTTCTACTGAAGAACACTATTGACTCACAGAAATCCTAAAGAATATTTAAAGATTGAATGGATGCCTTTCAAACTGAAAGGAAAAAGAAAATAAATATTAATATTTTTTAAAGGTCAACAAGCAGAATTTCTATTTCTAAAGGGATTTCTGAAAAATGCAGATAGAGCTTCTTCTGCAACCTTCAGGCATCAGCTCAGTTACTTACAGATTTTGAGTTTGGTTCTGCTTAAAAAATCAACCGTTAGATTTATCACACAGTAATCATGTAAGAAAAAAAGATATCATTAACTTTATTCAATCTACATGTTGCTATGCCACAATTAAGTTGTAGTGACCAAAATGAGTAATTGCTTCCCTATTAGCAAATGTAATGTGACACAGATCATTCGACATACGACATATGGGTCTTCTTGTCTTAACTTCTGCCTCAAGCACCACAAGTACCACAAGATCAGAGATCAGCACTGGGATAAAGGCGCATCATCTAGTATGGAACCTCATGTCAATCATCAACAGACTGACCTGGGTCTCATTATATTCATTTGTAAAATGACAAGAAGAGATTCATATATGTTTATTCAAATGCTTTATCAGCAGAGCCCCCTTGTTTTTCCAAAAAGAAATCTTGCTTATAACCCTAATACAGAAAGTTTGAAACAGAGCACTTTGGTACAGGGAAGGAGACAGTCAGACCCCTCTGTTCTCTGTGAGCACACCCCAGAGCTCCAGGAAAGAGCTGAGAAAATTGCTGCACAGATGACAATCTGAGTCTTTTCCAGGAAGAACCTAAGTGGCCTGGCGAGTAAGGATGATGTCACGGCAGGTCTGCTCAGCTGAGCATCCACCCTAGCCTGTGGGGAAAATGACACAATCCTGGTTCTAAACCTGAAGGTAAAATGAGAGATTTGGTCATAAATGGCCTTGGAATGCTTTGTCCATACCTTCCCGTCTCAAGTCAACTCTGTGAGACACAGAAGATACTTGAGTGGTTACAGATAAGTGGTTGTGGTGTTTCAAAGTCTTTAGTTACAGAATTATAGGTTTGCTGGATAATTTTTTTTTAAGATAGAGTTTCATGTGTCCCAGGTTGGCCTTGAACTCAATATGTAGCTGAAGATGACCTTGAAACTTCTGATCCTGCTTTCTGCACCTCCAAAACTCTAGAATTATAGGTGATTGGTTGTTATAATGCCAGATTTATACGGTGCAGGGGTCATATCCAGGGCTTCGTCAATGTTAGGCAAGCACTGAGCTAGAATCCCAGCTCAGTTGTATCCTTTAACACACAAATTCATCAATTCAAATCATGTTTGCTCATGTTTCCAAATCAAATGAGTCTAAGCCACTTGTAGATCCTGACTGCTTAAGATGGTTCTCGACTTTCCTCCATTGCAACCCTTTAATACAGTTCCTCATGCTGTGGTGACCCCCAACCATAAAATTATCTCATTGCTACTTCATAACTGTAATTTTGCTACTGTTATAAATCATAATGTAAATATCTGATATGCAAGATGTCTGATATCTGACCCCTGTGAAAGAGTCCTTCAATCCCCAAATCGGTCTCTACCCACAGGTTGAAACCCACTTTTCTAGGGGTTCTTCAGCTCTAGGTTTTGTTTTAGCTTACAAAAAAAACTCCTTGGATAGTATTTATGACTACCTGCCTAGCCTAGTCTCCATTTAGCCCCTCCAAAGACTACCACCACTGACCCCCGAGATCACATGACTTCTCCCCTGACCTCAACACTCACCTCTTCAGCCAAGAACTCTGACCTCGATGACTCACTGAAGCAGATGACCATGACTCAGAGACCTGGAGGACTCAGATTCTTCAAGGTCAACAGGAAAAACTGTGGTGCGCAAATGGTCCCAAGGGCCCTTCCTGACCCAAATCTCTAAATCTCTCACACTGTCCTGCTCAGTCACAAAAGCCAGGGCTTTGCTTTTCCTCGCACCAAGGTCCAAAAGCCCAGGACAAAGCAGATAAAGCTTACAGGTCTTCACTCTCAATTGCTCAAAGTGGGAAAATGCTTTCAAAACCACATCCACCTTTGGCCCACTTTAACCCTTTCGGGAACAAAGTAGAGAAAAATAACCTCATTTTTCTTCTACAACTTATGGCAAAATCTACAAAGAAATTTCCACAGAAATTATCTACTCTCTCGCAAAACATCTCCTCCCGCAGTGCCTGGAGCCCAGTGGGCAGCTGGTACCACAGGAAGCACTTTGGTCTCTCGACCCTTGGGTGAAAGCTCACACAAGCAAGTCACCAAACGTCAAGAAGCAAACACAACACTCCCTCCAAACTCCAGGCACCAGGCTTCTTGTTTCTTTACGTGTTTACTGCGTGAATGTTAGCATGTCGCTTCCCCGTCTGGGCCATCACAGGCATGTGCCTTGGAACCATGTATTTCCAAAGTGGGAAGGCAAATAAAGCATGCTGTGAATCACCAAGGTGATTTCCATCCAGTCCCATAGCAAGGGGCTTCTTCCCTTCCAACTGACCCTTCTCCTCCTTCAAAATCACCTCCTGAGACTCAGGAATTTCCCCTTCAGGGGGAGAAGGTCAGTGCTGCAGTGCCCCAGAATCCACACTTCCTGGCCTAATAAGCCTTGTCAGTGACCATTAGTATATAAGCGGGTAGGGAGGCAGCTGTTCCGACAGCTGGCGTGGTGACTAGCAGGCTTGCTCTCCGAGTCCCCTTGCTGAAGTACCGGCTCACCACAGACTTCAGACAGCACCTCATGGGACTGGAGCAGGGGATTTCTTGTCAATAATGCATGAACACAGAAAGCTCTAGAAATGTGTGCTTTAAGGCAACTTGAAGTGGGAGGGGGGGAGAGGATGAGTCACTCACTCAGTGACACATATCAGATAGAATAGCTGTCTTAAAGCCTGCCTTCCGCTGACAAAAAAAAAAAAAAAAAAAAAAGATCATTCTGAAAACTGGTTTTTCTCTTGCCGCACTTCCACCTTCTGGGTAGACTTTATGCTTAGCAATGTTGAAACAGGAAGAGTAGCCAGATCTTTTCACAGCTCTTCCTATAAATAGATAAGTGAGGTAAGAATAAGAGCCGATAATATAGCTCAGTGGTAGAGCGCTTGTGCAAGGCTCGATTCAATTGTCTATATTATAACCTACACACACACACACACACACACATACACACACAAAGAAGAAACATTAAAACAGGAAAGCATTGCTTGTGTGGCTGTGTGTAAAGAAGCATACACAGACACACACACACACATACATATATATATGCATGTGTGTGTGTGTGTGTGTGCACATGGGCTGGGTTTGTAAATGCACATGGAACATAAATGTGAGAGTTGGAGCTGGGCAGTGGTGGTACACGCCTTTAATCTCAGCACTTGGAAGGAGAGACAGGTAGATCTCTGTGAGTTCAAGGCCAGCCTGGTCTACAAAGCTAGTTCCAGGACAGCCAAGACTGTTACACAGAAAAACCCTGTCTCGAAGAACAAAAATAAAAACAAAACAAAACAAAAACAAAATGTGTGAATTGTGTGTGTGTGAGTGTGAACTGGTGTATAGGTGAGGGTATGTGCATAATGTGGGTGTGTGAATTTGAATGTGAATCATATTTATTTTTAATCTTTTTTTTCCATAGGCAATCACTCCAAGGCGATGGCTCCTTTCTCTATAAAACTTAAATGCAGCATTTT